AGACGGGACGCCGGCCGTATGTGTCCAGCCTTCCCCTTAAACGAAGTATGCAGGTCCACATGCTTGGAAAGTGTGAGGGGGCCGCCGGTCAGGCCATGTCATGGCAGGTCTTTGGTGTGACCCCAAGGGCCCCTTAGACGTTTGGAAGCAAGAGGCTTCTCCAGTAAACCTACAAAAGGTTAGATTCTACATGTGCTCAGGGAGAGCAACCCAGTTGTGGGTAGCCTCCTTTATTGCAGCCACATGACTGAACCCTCAAAGCGGTTTTCACGTTGGTTTGCCTTGACCTGTTTCCCTCGTGCCAAGTATCCTGGATTGCCACCCCAGTGAATTTGCATTTGTGACGAGTGGGTCCAAACACTGGGGGCCTTTATTGCTGACCAGATGTTCGTTCTTGTGTTGCATTTTGCCTTCGTTAAAGCAAGAGTGCTCCGAGCCTTCAATAGGCGACCAAGTCCTTTGGCGGGCCGCTTTCGAGATCTATCAGTCCTGCAGGGTTGGAATGGGGGGGTCGAAATAGGGCAACAGTAAATGTCGAACCAATGGTGCATGCCTTGGTGCAAGCTGGGGCCTGCTTTTCAGAGCGACAGCTCCCCTGATTCAATCCGCCCTTCGAATCGAAGCGGCAGGCCTCAAGAAGTTCGTCCGGGTGCGGCTGGGTATCGGCAGCCCCCCGAAGAGTTTGGGCCCCAACGCGGTGGTGTACCACGTGCTGGGCCAGTTCAGCGCGGAGGACCCCTTGGCTGGTCCCTTGTTTGACGCCCAACGGTCCCTTAGAGCTCTTGGACACAAATGGCTTTCCATTCAAGGGGGAATGGTAGTTGAGGGGAACTGAAACACCAGGCCGACAAAGGGACATGCAGGAACTCTGAACCCTTTTCCACAGTCAGATGGCTTGGCCCTTTCGAAAGGCAATTCCAAAGCCTCTCTCAGCGGAAAGAGGGTCGTCTTTTCCACACCCCCTTTTGACGCGCGATTGTTGGACGCTTACTACTTTACATCATGGTCGTCTTGGCAAGCCCTTGGTGTTGCACATGTTTTCAAACTTTTTAATATTTTGTGTCGCCATTGCCCGAAAGAGAACTTGTGTTTTTAGGTTTGTTTTTTGTTGCATAATTTGGGACACGTGGCGTTTCCCCCAACCCCCACGCTCTCCGCTCTACGCGAGGAGACGGACGCGGTCCAGGCGCTGCTGAACTTGACGGCGGACGCGGTGGATGATCTCGCCGAGGGCGTCACCGTGGACAACGCCGCTGTGCGCCGAAGCGCATGTGCCATTTCTGGGACTGCGAGAGGTCCAAAAGTGGCAGTCACAAAGTGAACTGCAGCTTTTGAAGGAAAATCCGGCGACGCCTCTGAAGCCAACGACCGTGCCCAGACTTTTTCCTTCAACTTTGTTTGTGCCCGTTCTGAGGACTGTTGCTTTTTACCCTTTATGCACAAACTGTCTTGATGATGTGATGATGTATGGCCACAGTACGTTCGTAGAAATGACATCTGCCTAGCCTAGCTTAAGCCACATGTAACACATGTACAGATGATGTACTTGGGTCTGTGCAAGGTTTTACTTGGCCCCCCGCTGAAATCAGCCCATGAAAGCTTTGGGTGAAGCACCGCAAGCTCAAATCAAGCTAAGGGGCCCTGACTGTTGATGCGCGCCGTTGCACCGGTTGGGAGGGATGACGTGATACATCCCAAATCTCAGCTGGTGCGAAGTGGATTTTGTTATCAGTTGCTTGAGCTTATTCGGCACCAGGGGTTGGAGGGGAGTTGCAGAGGCTTTGAGTCAGACTTCCTTTTATCCTCGCGAGAAACCCCGTAGTTCCTAGGGGGAAACTAAGCCAAGCATACAAGGCCTTGAGGCAAGGGTCCATACCTGTCTTTGGACCTTATCTTGGAGGTCCATGATCCCTTGACGCGAAATGGACTTAGTTGGGTCAACAGAGACGTCCTTTTTTCGAGGACCCGTTTGCTTCCATCGGGCACCCTGTTTGTTGGGACCGGAGAAGAAGGAGTTCTGCTCAACCACCTTTTAGGCCAATTTAAGCTGAGTTGGCTATAAGTTTTCCTGATGTTTCTTGTGAAAACCTAGGGAGCCGTAACGGGTTGAGGGTTGGACAATTCGAGCTGTCCACAGCTCAGCGTAGTATTTTTTGCAATTGATCAAAGCGGGCTTTCCTGTGCGCCTGGGTGGGTGCAGGGCCGGCACGCCCTGGCGGGTTGCCTACCGTTTTGCTTCTGACTGGTTGGGTTTCCATTTTTGAGATGGGCTTTCATGATCTGACGAGGGTGTTGACATCTGAAAAGCCGTTTGGCTTTCTGGCTTTTGCATTTTTCAACTCCAGACAGGCTCAGCAATCGCTCCGAGCTTTGCTTTGCCAACTGTCCGCCAAGGTCATGAACAAGTTCAACAAGCCCGCGAGCACTTGACTCGTCGCAAAATGGGCGCTGGGAGGTCAGGGCTAGCTGCTTAGCTCAGATGCACCAGGTCTTCAGTTCCGGGGTTGCCACATCTATCCGAAATGAAGACACACTCTATACATACATATATAACAGGTTTGGTCAAAGCCAGTCCTTTATCCTTGCGTTAGATGGTATTGGTTCTCCTTTGGCAGTGGTGTCCCACTACAGATTATGGATCAGGATAGGGCGTCCCCCAGTAAAATGACCCTTTCTGCTGGTTTGACACTCTTCGTGAAGAACAGGGTGCTTGAGCCTTCAAGTGATGACCAAACCTGGGTAGAAAATTGGCGAGTACCATATTCCTACCCTATGGAAACCGTCAACCAGAATTGAGCCACACCTGCGGAATGAATCCACTTCCTAGCAGATGAAAAGAATTAGCCTTTGATTCTTGGGTGCCCGAAAATTCATCCGAGGAGTGTAGGATGATTGGGCTTTTGTTTGGTTCTGGCACTGGAATAATTTTTGGTTTTCCCATTGAACTCACCCTTGGCTGGATATCACGCGGAATGCCAATGCGTTTGCCACCATTCTGCCGTCTCAAGGGGAGTGCGGAACGTGGAGTGCGGAATACGTGAACCAAAACAAGCAGCAGCCCGCAAAGTTCACCTTTGCCAGGCAGATGGCTAATTCAGCAGTTTTCTCGTAGTCTGGGCAAGCAGCATTGAAGACTCACGCAGGTGACCTCGTTTGTGCGGACGCTTTTGGATTATCTGACTGCCCCGCGTTCCATCTCCATGCGCGACACGGAGCCCCAGTTTCAATTCCAACGACAGAGTGCAACACAAGCCAACCTCAAGGACACACCGATTCTCGGAGCTTCCAAAGACTCCAGGTACACCTTTTGCCACCTAAAAGTATGGAAGACTTCAAGACATCCATTTAACTTAGTTTGAATCACCTCAGGACGTCAACGCAACTCACTCAAAAGGGGCTTGAGATTCGGCAACGATCCCTGGGCAGTCAGCTGTCGGACGCCGGGCACCCAGTGCTTCTCGGGGTCTGGGGTGCCTTTCTCGCTTCCAGCTTCTGCGCACATTTGCGAGGCTCCCGAAGGCTCACATTCTGGGCTTCTGAGAGTCTCCTTGCAATTGTGGGTTCTTTTTCTGGGTCAATGCTGGTTAGGGTTGAACCTTGTCCAGCGAATTTATCAAATCTGAGTCTCAGATGACGGAGGGGGAGGGTCGCTCATCACATATTCGGTCTCTATGTCGGTATTTTGAACACATATGCCGTAAGAGAGAGCAAGGCATGCAGACACACACACACACACACTTGTGTGATTATGCATTTCCACATGACATGTGTATATATATATATTATATATATATATATATGCACATCTATATACACATGTGCAGTTTTAGGCGTGGCATGTTCCAGGGCGCACGTAGTTCAGCCCTCAGCCCCCTAGCAACACACACACGCGCACAACAAAAACATGCCGAGGATGAAGTACCGGCAGTACAACCCGAACGCCAAGTTCAGCATGCTGAATCAGCGGGATGGCATCGACGAGGACTACTCCGACCGCGAGAACGGCGCGGGACCCCGGCTGAGTTAACACTTGGCTGAAGACCCAACCCCACGTTGGCCGTGTTGGTTTAAACATTGACAAGTCAGTGGTGGACTCCCTTATTTTGTGTGGCCAATTTGGGGCTGATGCAGTGTTCCAACTCGATTGCCCCCTTGTGGTGGTTTTGCGTGATTGTTTTTCGACCCACAGAGTTGAGCATCATATGTTGGTTGCCAACTTCAAATGGTATTGCTTTTGGGTGAGTGACGTCAAATTGGGACCCTGTTCGATCGCTGGCTTGCTGTCTGGCCCGTCCATTCAGAAGCCACAACTTGTGTTCTTGGCTTTGTTGCCTTCCCGTCATTTTTGGTTGCTCCAAAAACATCGCTTTGGGGACCTTGGCATTGTATGATTGGGTAAGGATTCACACATTTAATAAACCCTGCGCTTCCTGAGGACCTGAGAATGACAGGACCATTTGTTGTAATTGTAACCCTTTTCTAAGAAGCTTGGTCCCTTGTTTCTCCACTCGGACCGTTCCCGGCAATAAGTTCCGGGCCCAGGCGAAGAGAGTTGCTTGAACCCCCGGCGCTTGCTGGGGCTCTGCCTCTGCTGCTCCTGCGTGCTGCTGCTGCCTCTCCTCACGCCTCTCGGCTAGCGGACTTCGCTTTGAGCGCCATGAGGGGCATGCCGATGAATTTCACTGGGCTGTTGGCAGATAATCACCTTGCCTTTTGAAAGGGCTTGGAGTAGAGATTATGGAATTGGCCTGGCCAAGGCTCCAATTTGAACGGACCAGTTTCAATAGGGACCCCTCCAAAAAGGGTTGGTGGACATGACATTTGCGCAGGGTGGGTGGAGGTAACTGCGCCATGAAGTGCCAAATCTGAATTCTAAACAACCAGCCGTGGAGCACGCAGGATGCAGAAAATAGGACTCAACCATTTACTGCGTTGGATCTTGGATGTGGTGACTGCGTACTTTCCAACCCACAATGCTGATGTTTCGGGAAAGCCAGCAGGGATGTGTAAAACTCCTGTGTTTTTGGCCGCCCACCCACCCAGAAATGCTCCTCGGAACAATCATGGAAGCTGACCGGAGGATTGTAGACGACTTTCCTCTTGGAGACATCCCCTGTCAACTTTCATGCTTGTTGGAAAAGGTTGGATCTGAAGTATGGCAAGCTCACCGGTCAGGATAAACGAGGTGAAGGTCCCTTCACCTTCACCCCCGGCCTTTGCAGCGCAGCTCAATTGCTGGGGCGTTCCCTGAAAGTAGGGGACGGATGACTATGTTGCCACAAGTGACCGAGCAAAAAGGCAAATAGTGCAACCCCTGAATGATGATCTTGGTCAATGAGGCTGCCTAGCCCAAAAAGCCGCTTTAACCGTTGCAAGTATCCTCTACGATATCTTTTTTTTTTGTTGCCTTTCAGCTGGACGTAGGGCCGCCTTCTTCCTGAACTCCTGGGCCACTGATGCGGTGGAGGCCGCCGGCATGCAGACCTTCGGGGCGCCTCGGCTGGAAGCCGATTTCGGACGCCCGGCGGCGTAAACTCGGGACCCGCACACCGCTCAGAATGGCCTTCGTTCGAAAAAGATTCGGCACGACGGAACGACCTTCCCCTCAGCCCGCGCCATTGTAACGGGCGTTTTTTTGAGACTAAGCTAGAGGATGTCTTGAGTGACCTTCCGGCTCAGAGGCCAAGTCCAAGCGCTGCGAACTCGCTCGCACTCGTGTGCCGCGTTTTTTTCGCCCGAGGTGCCCACCTCCGTGGGGAGCGTGGAGATCTCCCCGCTGAGCGCCCGCTGGAGCTTGTCGGACTTGGAGGTGGCCAGCCCCCCGGGCTTCGGCCCCTCGGTGGGCCATAGGGTTGGGACGTTCTGGTCATGGCGTAATGTGTGGGGTAAGGCTGAAAAGTTGGAAACTTATTTTTTTCTGCAATTTGAAGGTTCCAATCCTGAAGGGTTCGATTTCCAGAAAATGAAGGCTTGCACTACCCACAAAAACGCCCTGAGTCAACCCTGCACGGGGAAAAAATATATACAACTGCTACGTGACGCTTAGAGTGGTTTGTTTTCTGGTCATATACCCCATCCCTGGGGGGTGGTGATGGGGTCCCCGTTTCGAGTGATTCGAACCCTCTCACCCTCTCAGCTCAGGTAGGGTCCGCCAATGTCGCCGAGAGATCCGCCTGATAGAAAGCTCGACGATAGTAATACATCTATCTACACACATGCTCGTATATGGGCGTTTGCTTTTTCGATAGTTGTGGTTGGTTTAAATAGACATTAAAGGGAAGTCACCATTTTTGTGCTCTCGTTCTTCCCTCGTACATTCAGGCCCGGAAAAGTTGCGGTCCCAGCTTTAGTTTTTTTTTGCATAAAGATCCAGGGAAATCTATATGGAATCTGCCGGGGCGGTTTTCAACCATATTCCTTTGAAGGCCAAAGCCAATTTCCCTTTGGTGATTGTGGGGGTCCGCAGATAGCTTGAGCTATAGGGGTTCTTGCTTCTAAGGAGGTGCTGGCCAATGGTCAGGGTGTTAGGTGACTGGCGGTACTTCGGCGTTGGAGTCAGGGTGCTGGGTGCTGGGCAGGGTGCTGGTGGTATCTTGCAGCGCTTGTCAGTTCGGCCCTCCAGTGGGCGTGCCGGTCAGGGCTGCTGGTCAGGTCAGGTCGCTGGTCAGTTTTTGTTCGGCGCTGCAGTGAGGATGCTGCAGTACAGGTTAGGTCAGCCCCACATAAGCTCACTTGCGTTTTGGCACGCTGCCGCGCAATCTGCTGCACGTGCACGCCTCCCATGTTGTTCTCCTTCCGTGTGTACTTCTCATGCGTGTTTGGCACACCGCCGCTCCACCTGCTACATGCGGATTCCGTGCGCGCATCCCGCATGGGTTCCCGTGCGCGCCGGCCGCACGGGTTTCTGTGCGTACTTCCTACACACTTCTCCGGGCACACCTCCCACACTTATCCCTTTCGCGCTTCTCATGTGTTTCCGTACACTTTGTCTTATGCAAAGTACTGTGCACGCCTCCCGTGTGGCGCCCGCGCGGAAATCCGTGTGTGCCTCCCTTTGCGGCCTGTCAGCGTGCCGGTGGCAATGTCGCTTGTTCGGCGCGGCAGGTTGGCAGGTTCAGGGTGCTGGTCAGGGTGCTTGTGACGGGCAGTGCTTGTTCCCAGATAGCAAGCTACAAGGAGTGCTTACTAAAGAGGGTCAGGCCGGGGTGGTGTAGGTGCTGGGTACAGGGTGCTCAGGTTGCGGGTTGGTACAGGGTGCTCAGGTTGCTGGTTGGTGCGGTGGGTGCTTGTTTGGCGACGCAGCCAGGGGTTTGTTTTGATCATTCTGACGTGCTCAAGGTACGTTGGAATGCTTGTTTTGGGATGCAGGCAAGGTGAGAGTGTTGTTTGGTGTGCTCAAGTCAAGGTTTGCTGGCGGTGCTTGGCCAGGCTGGTGGCCAGGGTGCTGTTGTAATCTCCAATGCGGTTTGGGGGTCATGCTGGAGTGATTCAAACGCTTGTTTGGAATGCTAAGGAAGTAGTTCTGAATTTGGGCTCACCCTGTCATTGAAGCTTTGCAGTTTGGTGCTGTCCGGCGGTGGATGTTTTTGCTGATGGAAGTAAACATCATCCTCTGGTGGCCCATTTGAGCGAGCTTCACTTTGAAGGGGGCATCTGGGGAACCCTGAAGTCAGGGTGGTTTCCCATGCACAATGGCGACTTCGTTCTGCTGCCTTTTTTGGGGCTGCGCACTTTCCAGGGGCACAAAAAGCAGTCTCGTTCCCTAGAAGTTCTCCTTTTTAACGCGCTCCTTTGTGTGCTGTATGTCTAGAGTTTTACTCTTGCGCCTTCGCAGGGAACCTCAAAATCTTCAGAGGCATCACCTTTCTTGGGAAGGACATCCCGTTTTCGCGCTCCATGTAAAACACAAGCACAGGCCGATTGGAGTTTCGCTTTGCCACGCCACAAGGCCAGTATAGCTTCCTTACGCTGGGCAGCGGCGTGTTCGACCTGAGACGCTGGGACTTGGTCAACTTTTTTGTAGAAATCTCGAGGTTGCTTGCACATGTCTTAGATGCAGAAGCGGCAGATGCAGATGCACATTCATCCGTGTTTAGATTCCAACTTACTGTCATGAAAAAAGCGTACGCTCAGGGCAACGTGTTCTGAAAAAGGGAATCAACCGGCCAACAAGATATGGATCTCCGTACCTGAAAATCCGTAGCGATCAAAGTGGCCTTGCCGTCGTTTCATGATTATCAAGGAACATTGACCGAGCCCTCGCCAGGCCTTAGGCCTTCCCCTTCAAGTGGCCATGAATTTCTGAGGCTTCCGCTCGGTGATCTTCAACCCCTTGCAGCTGCAAGAGCTGACGCTCCAAGACGTGCACTTGAACATCGCGGCTCAGTGGAATCTCGAGGGTTCCATTTTTAAGCCCAAGGCAACACTCTTCTTCATTTCCCAAAAGGCACGTTTGTGGGTTTAGTGTTGACCGGTTGGAGCAAAACAAAATCACGATGTAGGTCCTGTACTTGGGGATTTAGTTGTGGAATTTGCAGATCTTTAACTGCAAGGAAAGCTGAGCCCCGAGGTTCTCTATTTCCTCAACAGGCATGACGTGTTCGGGGGAAGCAGGGTTGTTGAACGAGGGATCGGTTCCCACTTTTGTCATACCAAGAAACATCCCTTTTGAACAGGGCTCCCTATATATATATATATATATGTAAATGTACATGCACCTTTTTGGTGGTTAGAACATAATACTTTCGGCTTGTTTCCTTTCGCGGTGTCATGCTTCCAAGGGATATGTAGGGAACTCCGTTCAATGGAGAGTTAGTCATTTGGATCGCTTCCGTTGGTATCACAGAAGTGAAACCTCCAATCCTGCAGCCCTGCTCCACCCGCTTCGCCCTGAGAACGTCGTCGGTGCTGTTTTGGGGGAGGGGGTCTCCTCCTAAGTTTCTCGGCCGTTGGTGAGTGACCCGGGCTAGAATCCATGAAGCGATGTCCCGAGTTAGCTCTGTTGATTTTTGCGAAGGTCCGCACCTTCGCCCTGGACGGGTTTATGCCGGGGCCGCGGCCATGTCACAGGGATTCATGAATTTCTTGTTTTGGGACCTTCCAATGGACACCACCAGTATGTAAGCCGTTGTGCACCCCGCCATTTCCTCAGATTTTTCTCCCTGCGAGCAGCGTGTATGCTGATTAACCCCTGTAGGCATCTTTACGGCCTAAAAAAATGTGGGGCGTTCAATCCAATCATCAATTCCGCTTTTTGTGGTGTCCCGCTACCGAGTACTCACCTGCAACCACCCAGATGCTCGCATCTTCGTATTGGTTTCGGCTGGCCTCGGTTGGCGTCGGCTGTCGCGCTCAGGATCAGCATGTTGATGGCAGCTCCAATGCCAAGAGCATCATGGACCGGGCTGGGCTCGTGGGCGTCTGTGTTTTTCGGAGGGTGTACTTTTGTGGTTGTCGGCTTGAAAGGAAATCACGAGGAAAACCACAATTTGGGGCGTTCCCTATTTTGACACGTGCCGTAGCTGTCCTTTTGAGTCGGTTCGAGCGAAACACACATAACCCGAGCGATTTGAAGGCACTGCCACGAGTTTGGTTCGTTGAATAGTGCCCCTGAGTAGAAAATGGGGCCCAACAATCCCTGGCACCACGCAAGAAGATATCTGTGCAAAACCACCCAACAATCTTCTCCCAAGGATTTCTTAAGAGGGCAAATCGAAGCAACATGTTACCAAACCTTGCCAATTCTTGGGAAGATGGGAATGCTTGCTTGTCTCCTCCAAGCCTCACGGAACACAAAGAGTTTTTGCTTCCCCCATGCTTGTGGAGAGTTGCTTCCTTTTCCCTAGCAAGTTCTATCTTTTATCAGCCCACGTTGAATGATCTCGTTGATGGTTTTAGATGGTTGGGGTCGGAGTAAGGCTCAACACCCCACAGCAACCACAACAACCACCAACCGCAGCAACAACAAGTCAAAGAGGGGGCCATCTGAAGGCTAACTTAT